TAAGACAGGAGCCTAGTTAGTTTTAGATGTTAAGACAGGAGCCAAGTTAGTTTGTAGATCTTAAGATAGGCGCCAAGATAGTTTGTAGATGTTAAGACAGGAGCCAACTTAGTTTATATATCTTAAGACAGGCGCCAAGCTAGTTTGTAGATGTTAAGACAGGTGCCAAGTTAGTTTGTAGATGTTAAGACAGGAGCCTAGTTAGTTTTAGATGTTAAGACAGGAGCCAAGTTAGCTTGTAGGTGTTAAGACAGGGCCAAGTTAGTTTGTAGATGTTAAGACAGGAGCCAACTTAGTTTATACATCTTAAGACAGGCGCCAAGCTAGTTTGTAGATGTTAAGACAGGTGCCAAGTTAGTTTGTAGATGTTAAGACAGGAGCCTAGTTAGTTTTAGATGTTAAGACAGGAGCCAAGTTAGCTTGTAGGTGTTAAGACAGGGCCAAGTTAGTTTGTAGATGTTAAGACAGGAGCCAAGTTAGTTTATAGATCTTAAGACAGGCGCCAAGATAGTTTGTAGGTGTTAAGACAGGCGCCAAGTTAGTTTATAGATCTTAAGACAGGCGCCAAGATAGTTTGTAGATGTTAAGACAGGAGCCAAGTTAGTTTGTAGGTGTTAAGACAGATGCCAAATTAGTTTGTATGTTTGTTTCTTTGTTAAGCAGAAAGCTACACAATAGGCTATCTGTGCCGTGTCCAATACTGGTATCAAAACCCGATTTTTAGCGTTATAAACCCATTTACTTGCCGACTTTTAACACAAACAGCATAATGTCCATTACAGTTATGTCTGGCTGAGACAAATGAAAAGATGCGTGTAATTGCTGACAAAACTTTTTACGAGCTACTTTTACACCCATCATCTTATAGGAATCTTTTTCATGATGTGTGATAAATTTTCTACTGGATATCAAGTACTCTTAGTCAGTTAAGAAGATATACATATATATTCAATGTTATATTGTCAACATAATAAAAATATTATTATAATACTTACAGCAAACTTCGCATCTGTCTTCATCACTGTTATCTCCACAACCGTCCAGTCCACTACAGAGAATAGCTGTTGATCTACACTGACCACTGTTACACTGGAAAGTTCCATTAGGACAAGTGTCCGCTATAAACGTGAAAAAAAAATTGAAATTGAGTTTCTGATAATTCACAAAATTCCAAATAAAAGGATTGTCCTGATAATTTTCTATCTTATGTCGGCTGAATGTGACAGTTCTGTAACTTGTAAATTACATAGTGCATGAACTGTTGGTGTTTTCTGTGTTTTATCACCATTATATAATAGATTAACTTTCAGAATTACTCAGAACAGAAACAGTAATATTACACTTTATTATTTGTAGTCAATCATACTGAAACTGTGGGTTTTATTCGATATATTTGATACGTTAGTGTACTGTTACAGTATTAGGAATTCTGAAAAACTAACTGTTTTCAGTGTAAAACATAAATAACATGAACTGTATCCAAAGTTCTAATTAACATAAATTGTATCCAAAGTTCTGATTAACATGAATTGTATCCAAAGTTCTGATTAACATGAATTGTATCCAAAGTTCTGATTAACATGAATTATATCCAATGTTCTGATTAACATGAACTGTATACAATTCATGTTAATCTGAACTTTGGATACAGTTCATGTTAATCTGAACTTTGGATACATGAACTGTATCCAAAGTTTTGATGAACATGAATTATATCCACTGTTCTGATTAACATTAATTGTATCCAAAGTTCTGATTAACATTAACTGTATCTAATATTCTGATTAACATTAATTGTATCCAAAGTTCTAATTAACATGAATTGTATCCACTGTTTTGATTAACATTAATTGTATCCAAAGTTCAGATTAACATGAATTATATCTAATGTTCTGATTAACATGAATTATATCCAATGTTCTGATTAACATGAATCGTATCCAAATTTCTGATTAACATGAATCGTCTCCAAATTTCTGATGAACATGAATTATATTTAATGTTCTGATTAACATGAATTGTATCCAAAGTTTTGATGAACATGAATTATATCTAATAATCTGATTAACATGAACTGCATTCACTATTCTGATTAACATTAATTGTATCCAAAATTCTAATTAACATGAATTGCATCCAATGTTCTGATTAACATGAATTGTATCCATAACATGAATTGTATTCAAAGATCTGATTAACATGGATCTTATATTCAAAGATCTGATTAACATGGATCTTATATTCAATGTCCTGATTAACATGGATCTTATATTCAATATCCTGATTAACACTGAAACGACTTGATCTTCGTGTTTTACATTGACCTAAACAGAGTTAATGACGAATCCTGATAACCCTTTTTGTTGAACTAAACGATAGGCGATGGCAACAATGTAAAATTAAGCCTTAAAAGCGTTTAGTATTAGTAATGTTTATAAATTTCCACAACTAAGAATTTTAGACTTTTAAATTCTCTGTCTTTTAGCACTTATAGCTTCCCGATAAGTCTGCAGGCTTACGATGCTAAAAATCGGGTTTCGATACCAGTGGTGGGCAGAGAACAGATAGCCCATTGTGTAGCTTTCTGCGTAACAAAAACTAAACCATTTAACAATTGCACTATTCACAGTAAAGGACGAAATAAAGAAACTAACCTTGGGAGCAGACTTCTGGCTTCTCGTCACTTCCATCGGCACAGTCTTTGATAACATTACAGAAAGCGAACTGTGGAAGACATTCGCCGTTGTCGCACTGAAAGGCGTTCTTCTCACATGAAATACCTACAGTGTAAATTATACTTTAGAGAGGATTAAGTATTAACAGCCTAAATAGTTAACTGAAATAGCAACTAGATCACGAACACCAAGATGTCAACATATCTGGATGTATACCTATATAGCATTAACTATGATACCTCCCATTATACTTTAGAGAGGATTAAGTATTAACAGCCTAAATAGTTAACTGAAATAGCAACTAGATCACGAACACCAAGATGTCAACATATCTGGGTATATACCTATATAGCATTAACTATGATACCTCCCATTTTACTTTAGAGAGGATTAAGTATTAACAGCCTAGATAGTTAACTGAAATAGCAACTAGATCACGAACACCAAGATGTTAACATATCTGGATGTATACCTATATAACGTTCACTGTTATACCTCCCATTTGGAACTGGAATTTTCAATCTCATCAGTACTCTATGAACATGTTGGCTAAAACGTCAGGTCGGAGACCTCTAGGATTCAAGTGTAACCGTCTATAGTATATTGACCAGAGGGAAGGCAGCCAGGCAGCAGCGTAAGGCACCACAGAGGCTTAGACCGGTTCTTTGAACCGAATAGCGAGATTGACTGTTACTTTTATAATACACTCACAGCTGAATATGTAGAGCTTGATCAGCGACATCACGCCTCGAACCCTAGATCCTTTGATCTGCAACCCGACTTGTTAACCACTTTAATATCTTTAATTTCATATTTTTCTCTAGTTAAAAGTCTGCCTCTAATGTATAACATAAACTATTCATGAAAGTCCTTACCATTGTAACAACTGGCTTCAATAACATAAACTATTTATATGAATCATTACCCTTGTAACAACTGGCTTCAATAACATAAACTATTTATATGAATCATTACCCTTGTAATACGTAGCTTCAATAACATAAACTATTCATGAAAGTCCTTACCATTGTAACAACTGGCTTCAATAACATAAACTATTTATATGAATCGTTACCCTTCTAATACGTAGCTTCAATAACATAAACTATTTATAAGAGTCCTTACCCTTGTAACAACTGGCTTCAATAATATAAACTATTTATATGAATCATTACCCTTGTAATACGTAGCTTCAATAACATAAACTATTTATAAGAGTCCTTACCATTGTAACAACTGGCTTCAATAACATAAACTATTTATAAGAGTCCTCACCCTTGTAACAACTGGCTTCAATAACATAAACTATTTATAAGAGTCCTTACCCTTGTAACAACTGGCGTCAATAATTTAAACTATTTTATAATAATTTTTACCCTTGTAACAACTGGCTTCAATAACATAAACTATTTATAAGAGTCCTTACCCTTGTAACAACTGGCTTCAATAATCTAAACTATTTTATAAGAATTCTTACCCTTGTAACACCTGGCTTCATCGCTACCATCCGGACAATCCCATTTCTCGTCACAAATAACTGATCTCGATAAGCAGGTCCCGTCGTTGCATTTAAACGCCTCTTTAGCACATCCTGTACAGAAACAGACATACAAATAATACATTTCATCATGTTTCAATCGTACATCAACTTACTCAATCGATATTATGTAACATTATTCTGGTGTTACAATGTGAAACCATAGATAAAGAAACACGTCACGTCGATGTTCATTTTCTACGTGACCGTGTTATTTTAATACCTTCAATTAATTTTTTTTTATTTGGGTTAATTTACATGTATAAATATGAGATAAGATATGACATTTTTCTGAAGAAAAAAACATTTGAGTGTTCTAGCTCTAATGACCAAAAAAGCTTCAGTCGACGTTGTTTATAATGAACAACGCGTATACACGGAAATCAGGGTTAAAAGGAGTGTTTCGTGAGAAAACGATTGGCCGCCCAAACGGAACATCATATATTTTCATGCTTATAACGAAATCAAGCATATAAAGTAGCAGTTAACGGTGTGAAACTAAAAATACTTCTCGTGGAAGTAGTTGTGTATTTACATGTTATATATCAACACACAGAAACCAGTTAAATACAGCGGTGTTCTAAAGGGTGTCCCATAAGTCTGGACTTAACTTAGTTATATATTATATGTCAACACACAGAAACCAGTTAAATACAGCGGTGTACTAAAGGGTGTCCCATAGGTCTGGACTTAACGTAGTTATATATTTATATATTATATGTCAACACACAGAAACCAGTTAAATACAGCGGTGTTCTAAAGGGTGTCCCATAAGTCTGGACTTAACGTAGTTATATATTTATATATTATATATCAACACACAGAAACCAGTTAAATACGGCGGTGTTCTAAAGGGTGTCCCATAAGTCTGAACACACCGGAAAACATACACAATGTATCCTTTACTTATTTATCATTCAAATTGCACGCCATTAACAGACATACACATATTCACTCAAGAGAAAATGTAAACCTATGATCTTTAGTTGCTAAAACTCTACTCCACCCTCTTTCAATAATACCAGAAGGACATGCTTCACTCATATCTATTTGGGTAAGTAGCATATCCATAGAAACCATTAAATGATCCACAACAGGGAAAGAGTTTAAAAGGGTGGATTTACTGAGATGTGATGTAATTTCCTGTACAAAAACAAGACTGGCTATATCTAGTTACGATTAAAATGAAAATTATACAGCGGTCCCTAAATAATTTGTGTTTTTTTTAACTTATTCATGTGAATAAACTGCCACTCTTCAAGACACTGAAAGTGTCTCAGGTCAAATTGCAGCACTTTGGAACACTCGAGTTGTATTTTCTCTGACTGATATACCATGCTAATAAAAACGGAAGTTGTAGTATTTAGATAATAGTTAACAATATTTTGTTGTTGTTGTTGTTGTTGTTAAAGAGCAGATATATATATATGACCTGATGTTGACCTGTAAGTCTGTAAACACCCTGAAAAGAACAAACTGAATAATATCTGATGGTGTTATTGAAGTAACTATGCTCAGATGATATTACATGACTTTAAGAGAAAAAAAACACACCAGATGTCGTCACTGTTTTGTCGACAGTAAAAATATTAACCATATTTGCACCCACCGTTAATTGTACAGGACTATAACCCCAAATATCGGGTCTCGATACCCACGGTGGGCAGATTACAGCTATCCAATTTAAGTAGTTTTGCGCTTAACAACAAACAAACAAATTAGCCATATTTATTTCTTTGTAAAAAATGAATGGAAATGAGTGCTTAACAAAAGGTATTTTAATAAATATTAAAAAAACTGAGAATTAAGAGAACAGTTATCTTCAGTCGAGTCTAATTTACATATAAGATTACAAGATTTTCAATACACTTGATAATACTGTCGCTGAATGCTAAACTCTGCCCTTCTACATAGAAAACTTGCGATATTTCTACTCTAAAGGTTGGACGAAATCATTATGTTCCTAATAACAATTAGTTCATAGATGGCTTAGTTCTAAAGCTATGCAAAAGTTATCTAGTTTTTTTGTAAACTATATAAATGCTCTTAATTTATTTTGAGGATATTCAAGTGACTGAAACCCCAACGCCACCAGATCTAAAGTAAATGTTGTAAAATTGCTTGGCACAATTGTTCGTTAACTAATCACAGAATATACTTTAATTTTCAAAGTTTGTGTAGAGTATTAACTTGAAAAACACAGTCTCATATATATTAATTTTTAAAGAAAACTTTCAGCATGAATCTCAATTATTCTTAAAAAAAAAACATGTAATGTGTAATATCTGACTACCTGCAAGTGTGTGAAACATATAATGTGTAATATCTGACTACCTGCAAGTGTGTGAAACATATAATGTGTCATATCTGACTACCTGCAAGTGTGTGAAACATATAATGTGTAATATCTGACTACCTGCAAGTGTGTGAAACATATAATGTGTAATATCTGACTACCTGCAAGTGTGTGAAACATATAATGTGTAATATCTGACTACCTGCAAGTGTGTGAAATTTACTCGAATCAAGGATGTTTAATGGGGTTATGTGTCAATGATGTTTGGTAGTGACTAACTTAACATCAAGTAACTGAACACTGACGCAACATTACCTACTTCGAAGGTTATCATATAGCGTGTTACTATTCAAAACAAGCATACTACAGTCACTGTGACTCTGATATTTAAAGATAAATGAAAGCCTTATACGATACCTAACAAAACTGAATGCACGTCTCATCATGTTTGCAATGTTATCAAATGTTGCCCACACTTGATCAAAATCTTAACTTATCGACTTCATGAAAATATCTTAAAATGATTCCTTGAATAAATTATTCGTTGTCAGACATTACAACCACAAGATATATAATATACTGTTTTTTAAGAACATTCATAAAACGTATTTTATTTATTATATAAATATCGTAATTCTACGAAGATATCAAGTATATGGCTCACTCGTAGGAGTGCATTCTTCCTCGTCACTGCCATCAGGGCAGTTATCCTGTCCATCACACACAAAGAACCACGATATACATTGACCACTCCTGCACTGGAAGGTATCACTAAGGCAACCTAGTGAAAGATTAACAGTGATATATTTACAATGTTTCTCTGATTTACTGATCATATTTCTATTGTCAGGAGAAAGACTAAGTGTGTTTTTGTTTCTTGTTTTTGTAAACCCTGCACACTTACACTTCACTTTTTCTGTCGATATTTTTTGCAATTCACTTTTTTGTGGCGCTAATTTTTACACTTCACTTTTTTGTGTCGCTAATTTTTATACTTCACTTTTTGTGTCGCTAATTTTTTGCACTTCACTCTTGGCTAAAGTTAAGTACTTAATCTGTGCTTCTGGTTCTACTTTAATTTTGGTTAGGGCACTCGACTAGCATTCTGTGGGTCACGGGTTCGAATCCCTGTCACACCAAATATGCTCGCCCTTTCAGCCGTGGGGGCGTTATAATGTAACGATCAATCCCACTATTCCTTGGTAAAAGAATAGCCCAAGAGTTGACGGCGGGTGGTGATGACTAGCTGCCTTTCCTCTAGACTTACACTGCTAAGTTAGGGACGGCTAGCGCATATAGCCCTCGTGTAGCTTTGCGCGAAATTCATAACAAACAAACTATTCAAATTTTGACTCTTTTCTCCACTCTACCATATACAAAGTAGAAACAAATATTATGTTTGTAGATGACCTACTCATGACTAACGTTACTATATGCCCCCCCCCCCATTTACACTGGGGTAAGTCTGAAGACTTATAACCCTAAAAACTGGGCTTCAATACTCGTGATGGGCACAGCATAAATATCTCATTGTATAGCTTTGTGCTTAACTACAAAACAAAACAAAAAATTAAATGTAACAAAAATTTTTTTTTCATTTTTTGGAAACCGTAATGAAAACTCTGTTGGTGTAAATCAAAGGCATATCTCTCATTTCTCAATATTATGATCTAAAAATGTATGTGTTTTTATGTATTTCTAAAACTCATAATGGCTTACATCACTTTTAAGTGTTTCTGCGCAATAATATTGTACTTTTAGTTTTCAGCCTTGGAGGTGTTATAATGTGACAGCCAATCCTTTTATTTGATTAATGTAGCCAAATGATTGACGGAAGGTGCTGCTGACTAGCTGCCTTTTCTATAGTCTATCGCTTTAAAATTAGGAACGAATAGCGCGGATAGCTCTCGAGAAGTTTTGTGCAAAATTCAACAAACAAACGTTTTGACTACAGAATAATATTTAAGTTAACAATGTATAAAAAGTTATACAACGAACTCGACAGCAGTCGAGTTTAGAGAAATAGTAACAATATGGGAGTTGTATATGAAGACAAAGCATTAATATCTTAATCTTAAAAAAAAGGGAGGGTTCCGTGTTACATACCTGTAACTGCAGAGTTACACCTGGAAGAATTCGAAATACACTGACAAACTCCATGAACGCAGCTGCTGTGGGGATCTCGAGCTTGACACTGACTGTCAGACTGACAGCTTTTGCCAAGGGAAACAACAACTGTTTCGTCCTTAACATCATTTTTATCTTCTTCCTTCTCGGTTTGTTTTTCATTTGCATTTTCTGTAAGATGTAAAACGGTATTTTAGAGACAGAAAATTGACAAAAATAAGTCAGTTTTATTAAAGTAAGTCACAAAAAAGTTCGCCCCCCCCCAGTGCCACAGTGAACACTCTCCATACAAACAATATAATTCATATAGTATAACCACTCTTAAATAAATAAAAATCAGCACGGTACTCGTGTCACGCCCGCGTGTATTGGATACGTGATTTTATTTGTACCATTGAAAGATCACTTCCACAGGAATTATTCATTATTTCTAGAAATATTACTACGTCAGGTTTGAAACTTCGTGTTTTTTGTTACATTTCTTCCTGTTGTTCTTTTAGGAAAATACACAGGTAGCTGCATAATAAAAATACTGGACCACTTTTGATGAATGAATGAATCCATCACATAATTGTATGTTTACTTGTTGCTACAAAATTAGCTATCTGTGTTGTGCCCATTACGGGTATCGAAGCTCGATTTTTAACCTCAAAGTTCTCAGACTTACTACTAAGCCACTGGGACTACTCTAAAGGAATCAGAACTTTTGTTGGAGTTCATTATGGAACTGACATAATCTATTTTATAGTATACAATCTTATCATTTTATCTACGATGTATAATCTGCCTTCATCATTAGTAGAAAATGGTGTAATTTGAAGAACTTCGAGCGAAGAACGAACTACAACTTTGGACACAATAAACATTCATGTAACCATGCAATGTTTCATCAGCAAGAAAGTTAAACATTTTTCTATGAGTCAATAGTTTGCAATTGTTACCTTTCTGTAGTGGCTCACAGCTTTTTCCACGGTCTGCAGTAATGAATCCGTCCATACAAGTGCAAACAGAAACATTATCTCTCTGTTTGCAGAAGGAACCAGGTGTCACACATTCTTCGTCGTTTAGACAAGCACTGTGTAGACCTGAAATTACAACATCAATGTGCTCTATAAACTGTAGAAAACTATTCGAGGAGTATGAAACACAAAAAACCTCAAATTTCAGAAATATTTTTTTGTACTTAGTCAGGAGATTCGACGACAAACCTTTGTTCTGCGTTTATTTGGGGCACAATAGTTGGTTGAAAGCGACATCAGTTGACAAGATCTCACTTGAAATCTTCTATCATCTTTTTTCTGATTAACTTTCCATTTACAAATGAAAATAAACAATAAATATAACTAAATATTACCAGTTGAAATTATAATCGTGTATAATTGACTTGAAATGACAGTAAAAAATATTTACACAAAACCTCACATTAATAGTGTGTACTTCTTCACAAACAGAATATCTAGCTTGTGATTAAATATGGATGTCATCTCGGCAATCTTTAATTTGCCTTCATTAAGCATTCATGAATCGTCGTCCAGCTTTAGTCCTATTGAAGCTGACCATCAGGAATAAGGCAGTCTGACCGTCAGGAATACACACCATGCATCATTTTGTGCCTTTAAAATCTATTAAACGAACAAGTGACATTGGTATGATGCTCGAAAAAATTAGTATAGAGAACATTTTCCATTTAAGATTCTAATTTAAGGAACACCCATTATTTCAAAGTTCAGTTTCAATAGATGATGGATAGTTTTCTGTATTACAAATTCCGTTGCATTTTTTTTTCAAATAATCTTTAAAATCCATCATTAATTATCAGTTGTCTTTTACTCAGTGATTTTAATAATACAATTTTTTTTTGTCCAGAAATAAAGTTATAAGATACGTTGTTATCAATTGTATCCACTCTTATAGTGGTCCGCACGCACCCTATCAGCTTTTTAAATACATTTTTACAAACTGTTTTTATACAACGTTGCTAGTGGATCCATAACTTTGATTGATTACAGAGTTCCTAATAACCTAAGAAAAATATATACAAAAATGCCTTCAATGTAATAATTAACACCATTAACATCATTACTACTGTAGTACCCTCTATACATCACTTTAAAATGAGGGATTTAAACCACCGTTTTTGGTAATTTCTTTATAATGATTGTTGTAACAGCCAAAAATATGATGCATTGATAACGAAGGATATTAAAATAATTGAGTAATTTAAAGATTAAACATTTACTCAATATAAAAATTTCATAATTATTTTGTACGTGTGAATCGAACGGTTTTATATTTATATATATGGTAAAGATTTCTTTTCTTTTTCACCAGAGGTCTAACTGTATTTCTTTGGTATGCTGACCTAATCTGTGCTGATGAGACTTAAATAGGCGAAACTGCAGTCAACAGCTGAGGGCACAGCCAATCAAAGAATGCATTAGGCCTCTACGTCACAGATTCTCTTTTCAATTTCACGTCTGGTGCAAAAGAAAGGAAATATTTAAAATATGTTTAAATGTAATCATTAAACAAGTGGTCCGCTATATAATATCGAATACTAAATTTGACGGAATGTCATAGCATGGTTCTCATACTTAAATTAATTTAGGTTACTATAAGGTGGAATAAAACGGACTCGAAACACCATAATTTGTTTTGCATTTTTATACTTTTTTTTTTACCAGGAAGATATAAATCATCAAAAAATATATTATATATTTTGTTTATACCCCCTCTATGAGAGTGGATTAATAAAAGTAAAAAAAGTATATTATTTTTAAACTGGAAATAAAAAAGCATAACTAAACTATAATTTTCAGTAAAAATCCCACCAGGTAAACAGCGGCGATCATCCGTTACCAAATAACCTGCCGGACACCGACATTTGCCATATATCCGTGGAATAATGTACTTGCAAAAACTGTGCCTGCTCGCTAGGTGGCACTGCTCATCTTTCAAACAGTAATCGTCAATTCTAGCAGCTGTTTTGGTGATGAAAAACATGCAGTAAGTATGCATAATTTGAAAGATATTTTCTCAACTTATTAAAAAACTAAATACAATATCTGTTGTTTTAGTTGAACTGCTACATTTAAATCGACAATGATAAACATCTAAATACAATATCTGCACAATATCTGTTGTTTTAGTTGAACTGCTACATTTAAATCGACAATGATAAACATCTAAATACAATATCTGTTGTTGTAGTTGAACTGCTACATTTAAATCTACAATGATAAACATCTAAATACAATATCTGCACAATATCTGTTGTTGTAGTTGAACTGCTACATTTAAATCGACAATGATAAACATCTAAATATGCCTCTTACTTTATAACGTGCAAACATCAGCGTTTTTAGATAGCTCTTTTTAAAACTACTGTATAAGGAATTCTCATGATACTATGACACATTATTTTTTATCAAAGTCTAAATAACTGAGTAAACTGCCAGTAAAAATATTAGTATCATGTGATATTTAAGAAGAAGTGACATAATGAAACTCTTAACCCCAACTTATGCTTATGTATTATCGAATACGGTTTTTACTGCAGTAAGTAACATGTCAGCACTGTAGAGTTTTGGAGACAAGCAACTAACTTCTTAAACATTGACATAAACTGCTGTTAAATATACAAAAAATGCAGAAAAACGTATAATTAGGAGGGTCACTTATAAATAAAGACCGTATTATTCCGGAACAGAAAGTGACCGAGTACGGGCCTTTCGAATTTTTCCTTTGTAAACTCCAAACACGTTGGCTTAAGTTACATTGTAACTGAAATGTAAATGCTACAAATATAGACATGAAACATTTTATACATATTAAAAAGCTATAAACTCACGTGGTAGGCACTTGTCGAATCTCAGTGGAAGAAAATTAGGTTGACACTGACATTTACCCTTTTCACAGTAACTGTTGCTAACCTTCATTGCACACTGTTCGTCCATTGCACATTCAAAACCCAGAAGCGAAGCTAAACAAAATATAAATTACCATAAATATGCACTACCGACACTTGTGTTTAACTTTTTTTTAATTATAATAAGTAATCAAAAACAACGTTTTTTATTGTGTAAATATAAAACGTTGTTTCTAATTATTTATTATAATTTACAAAACAAATTACCACAGTTTTGTACATAATAAATGGACTTCGCATAGTGCTAATATAAATACAAAACAATGTATGTTTAAATCATGTATATTATAATAGGTATAATTACAATCTGTATCTTCAAGAAATACGTCATATTTGTTGTTTTTTTCTTGTTTTTTTTTTGTTACTTATTAGCATAAAATACCCATATTTTACTCCACCTATTTTACGTTACTTGAACTATTCATATGAGTTTACGTTTAGTATTCAAGGGTCATTATTATTATTCGCATAAAATACTCACGCTTCTCTGTGGGGCTTAAAGGGCCCCCTCATGATTCATCTACCGATCAAGCTCTTCTATTATCCTTAATTATTTGTATCTGAAAACAAACCCCCCGTTATGACCCCTGAGCACATGTGCCAAGTTTGGTCCCGAAAGGGGTGGAGGAACACAAAATCCAATACGGGTTCAGCGACCCTTAAAACCTACTTGTACACCTCATCATGTCTGAGTGACCTTCCGAGGGCGTTCTAGCCCCCCCTTCATAGGAGACTAAGTGGTATAGATAAAGACACCCCCGAGTCCACCTCCCAAGTCCGGTTCTGCTAGCTCCAGAACCAGAAACTGAATGAACATACATCTAAAACTACAAGCTGAGAATTAATATAGAATATACGAACGAAGTTACATCAATAAATCATATAATTTTCAAACATTACATTACATTTAGAAAATTGTATGATTAGTGTCTAGAATTCAACAGTATCAGTCGAAAAAAGACTCCTTAATTAACAACGAAACTGGACAAAATACTTAGGTGTACATTTCAATGTTTTTCTAGGTAAAAACCATAATCGTGCAGTTTCGGTTTCTCAGTTTACATATGTCAAAACCGAACATTTTTTTTGTTAGTAATCACACATATATACATTAGCACATCTGTAATTGTACACTCGAACTTGTAAATGGATTTATTTTACCTGAAACACAAGTATTGGCGTCATACACTATAGAATGTGGTTGACACGTACAAACACGTAGTCTTTCGTCACAATGGCTTCTAGTCACAAACTTCTGACAATAGTCTGATGATTTACACTGAGATCCTAGTTTGATGCTAGAAACTAAACGATCCAGTAAGTTTTAGAACTGCGGCTGAAACAACTTTAAATCATTTCCAATTCATAAGATCATTATCACTTCAACTAACGATGTACTCGAATACTTAAATATAAAAAAGACGAAAGCATAAAAAAAGCTAAACATATTTTCATATTAATAGTAGCTAAATATACAATACCACCTCAAGTAATATAAATTAAAGTTTAAATTCGATGACGAGGAACCTACTTTGAGACTAATAATGGCTGGAGACGGCTTGAATGGGTAATGAAGAAAAACTTTAATATAATAGCAAATGTACAACGTTTTGACAAGGTTTTGTCATCGTCAGGTACCTGATGATGACAAAACCTTGTCGAAACGTTGTACATTTGCTGTTATATTAAAGTTTTTCTTCATTACCCATTCAAGCCGTCTCCAAATTAAAGTTTAGATCCACTATTAAGGAATAACAAGTTTCGACACACAAACAAAAGTTGGTTTGGAGAGGACAAGTCGAGACTTGAATCTATATAAACTTGTTCCATAATAGTGTATCTAAATTTTATTTTATAATCTCATGTCGTTTGAAGGTTATTCATATTTATAATTACTGTAGAAAACAAAAACACTTTGCACGCGTAAAAGTAATTTTAGGAAAATAATATCAGTTTGTTTAAACTTACGATAAATCATAATTTAAATCATAAACGAGCTAAAACGCTTACATAAATGAATTATCTTAATTTACCCAAAAACATGACGAATCAGAATTAGACAGAGAACACACAAACCAACCCTAACTATGTATGTAAATTTGCAAAGTTAATTCTCATTGGTTGTTAAGGATATTCAAAATCGTAGTTTCGATCTTTAATGAAAAACACGACTTATGTAAATTCGTAGTGGAACGGATTTTATCAGAATTACATTTTGGCATTGTTTGGTGTTCGTAGTGTGACGCCATCGAAAATTGGTCGGTTTTGAGGAAGGATTTGTAATATCATTTTTCCGACGCAACTTATTAATGACATTGGAAAACAAAGAAATGTGGATCAACTTAGAGTACCAAAACCATCCAGAAACAGACCTGCAACAAGTCTTAGCGCACCCATGGTAAGCAAAATATGGCGTCCTTAAAACGCGAGAATCCGAGAACACAATAAGATGTGGAAAAAAGCCGTCCATGTGTCCCAGGCAACGGCGCAATATAATCAAGAAGGATCTACGTCTGGAATAGCGACACAAGTCACGTTCAACCATAGAATACCTCAAGCAGCTGGAGATTGAAACGTGTATTCCTTATTCCTTAAGGCGAAAAATCGGTCGACTTGACGCAGCGATTATGGATTTCTGTGCAATCGAACTGTTGAAACGGGGGGAACGGATAACGTCGTCCTCGTACGCTAGATGAATTATGAAAAGCCACAAGGAGAAGTGGTGTGCTTTGGAAATGACAGCTTTATAACAGAGCTTTTGCAGTGTAAGCTACGCAACTGGGTTATTGTCAAGATGCACGGTCGTGAGACGGAACTTGATCGGATATGTAATGTAACGACGTGATGAGGCTCCAAATTCGTTCACCATTTCCCGCTGCTTAACTGTTATAGGGTCACGCACGCGGTCACGTCTGAACGGTTGGAAAAGTACAAGAAAATCCATGCGTGCTTAATTACTTTATTTAACCCCGCAAACAGTTTTTCTTTACAAATGGTACTCTTTGGTGTAAGATAATTATAATATAGTTAATTGCGAACTTTAGAATCACACTTTATTGCCAAATTGAATTGAAATATTCGATAACATAATATTAGAAAAAACTTACTTTCATTTTTGCCCATAGTTCTTGATACTGAAGAACACCATACTATCTATACAAGCAACAAAGTGGAATTAATGATTATCTTTTTATCACTGAGCTCTCGTTTATATATATATGTTTTTAAAATTTTTTGAAACTTAATCAAAATTACAAATAGCATTAGGACGACTTTCGAACAATAAACATCGGTTAGTAGAACGTTACGATACGTAAACATTATTCACCTTCTACACACAAGATTTCAGGATAAGCAGCCTTCATAAACACCAATGGTACCTGTTTAATTTACGGAATATATATATATATCTTTAAAACTATTTTTGAGCATAAAAATAACATGACCATTATAGCTGTGCGTTACGTAAATCCGGGGTTAGATTCCTGCAGTGGATAACAGCAGGTAGCTTGTTTGTTTGTAATGAAACACAAAACTACACAATGGACTATCTGTGCTCTGCCCACCACGGGTATCGAAACCCGGATTCTAGCGTTGTAAATTCGTCACTGGGGGAGGGGCAGCAGGTAGCCCAATGCTAGAAAACTAAGCCCAAACGTACTCCAAAAATATTAGTTTTACGCATAATCATAAATAGTTACTGAAGTATTAAATTTGCATAACACAAAATAAATTCAAAGAAAACATCTCACACAAAATTGAATTACTGTATCCTTCCTATCTAATGTTGAACTAGGTAAATAATTTACATCTGTAATATTTTTGTAGATACGTTACGAAGGTAGTAAAGTGTTTGGATATTTTGTTATTATAATGTCCATCACCAGCGATGTACAAGTTTAAACATTTTCATTGATGTCCCATTTCGTAATACCAGAGATACTCCATTTTACAGGCCCGGCATCAGAGTTTGCATCCCCGTCACACCAAACATGCTCGCCCTTTCAGCCGTTATAATG